ACCAGCAAACTCAGCTGCGCTGGTCACTGCCGTCTTCCTGGATGGAGACCCCGAGACGGTCACATCAATGGCTAGAGACATTGTCAGATATGGCCCAGATATGGCCCTCAATGGTGCTCATGCATCCAAGCTATTGCCTTCAATGCATAGCTCCTTTTCCAACCGCCCCCCCCCCACACTTGACAGGCCACTGACAGTGCTGGATTTATGTACCAATTATCACCTCCCGCCTGCAATGCGCAGCTACCTACCCCTGCCCCAAAACCATCGGTGAACGAAACTGAGGCAGCCATAACCACTGTACGACGAGTACGCGGTTATTACAGCTGACAAACAACAACAATGACGTGGTTGGTTTAAAGAACGCCATCCTTTCTGACAACAACCTGAGAAAGCTGGGGCAGCATACTTCGTAAAAATACAATAACAACATAAAAGCCATCTACGCGGTTATTACAGCTGACAAACAACAACAATGACTGATGTGGTTTAAAGAACGCCATCCTTTCTGACAACAACCTGAGAAAGCTGGGGCAGCATACTTCGTAAAAATACAATAACAACATAGAAAAAAGCCATCATCCGCCAGCTGTCCAGCTGGTTCTACACAGCAGACTCGATCTATCCATTGCTGGAACTCTTCAGCTGGGACCATGGAGTAATCTTATGATCAGGTTGAACAACTGAGATGAAGATAAACTGATATGACGTACGAACACGTTCGGTCAGAGCTAGTGAACAGGGTAGGAAAACACTGATCGTGGTGGAAAAGGCCAGTGACCTAGTGTCAGTGGAATTTTTCGAAACCCTCATATTCATGCCGTTTCAGCCTGTAAATTCTGGCTTCAGTCTGAGACCCACCCACTGACACGAACGAGTTATCGAAAACGACTACTTCTCTTCTTAGTACCCGGTTTCCAACAGACGGAGTTTGCTAATGTCATGATTTTTTCGTCGGGACATACTGGATAACAAAGCCAGCAAGAATAATACGACAAGAATAATCCGAAAAGATCATCCGGAAGAAAATGAGTGTATAGCGTTAAACCGGTACGGTCTAGCACGTGGGAAGTTTCGAAAGATGTACAAAAAATCACAGTCGAACAATTTCTCCTTTCATCGTTCCAATCTGCGTATACGCACTGCTAGTACGGTTGAATCAAGCTGCGTTAGCAAGAAGCACCCACGGCCTCGAAGTAATTATTGGTACGCGGATAGGATAACCGTTCTCATTTGTCGTGTTCAGCACGTAACTCGAACCGCCATCTGTTCATTACACTATCATAGCTGAGATAACACCAATGGTGGGGAATGAATTCGATGCCTCGCTGCATACGCATGTAAAGATGAACGACTTCAATAGAAAACGTGCACTTTCAGTCCTGAGCTTTCGAACTTGATATCATGCTGATCAGTTTGCCGCAACGGATAACTAAAAGCTTACCAGTGGTTCTCAATCGATTTGAAAAAGGCTGGGACAGACTGAGAAGTCATCGCTTCAGAAGGGCTTGGGAAGCAATCCGTAGTTGTTTTTTCCTATATTTTCGCACTGATAGACGTCTACGAACCATTTCTTGAAACTTTCGAGAAAACGAACTCCACTTAACTTTGAACTTAATGGCATTTGTTCAGTTGTAATATCCTTTCAGTGCCCAGCTGCCATGCTACCCAAAGGAAGCACGACGGCTGGTATACTGCCAGGTTGCTCTAACCTAGACAGTCGAGAGGCAAAGGTCGGGTTCGAACCACGGACCATCCGGTCAGTAAATTCGCGTTCTAACCACCAAGCCAGTTCACCCCATTATTGGTATTGCGTGGCATACTGAGGACACTGTTAATCAGACATCGCAGAAAGGCGGAAATATGGCAAAACTGCAAATGGGTCAGGTGAGACGGAACAAAATTACCAGGGTGATTTTGCAGAAGCGGAATTGAGGGGAGATTAGGACGTCGGCCCATGTCACTGTTGGAGCCGTGCCAGCACAAGTCGCATTACGTCCGAGAAATCCTCACTTGAAGAGCCAGTGACTGTATGATGTGGAGTGCGCAAATGAAGGATGAGTGACATTATATCCTGTCTGAGTACGAGTTGATCACATTGTTGGTCAGGCGCTCGTGGCTGATGATTCTTAGCAAAACTGAGGCGGCTGTACAGCAGTTAGCTTTTCCATACAGATCACTTGCAGGATAAAATATAAAAACCACACTTCGAAATAACCTCACTACCTACAAGCTGACGGTTATGGTCGTATCATCAGGGTGAAAAATAAAGGTGCAAAGTTTGTCCTTATTCTTCTTGCGGAGCAAGATATACTGCGAAACTACCATGGAGGTTTTTGCATTAGACGCAACGATGACAATGAGCAATCCCCATCATCAACCAGACTGAGATTGATGATTTTCAGTCAACAGGAGAGTTTGGGACCGATCGGGGGGTCGTCACTTCAGAACAGCTCAGCACTTTTGCTTGTAGATTCCCAGTTGCTCGCAGGCAAAGCGGTGAAGAAGAAATCGATCCAATGTCAATAGTGCGAATACATAAGTTCGGAAGGTCACTTTCTAGGGCTCGGAAGAGTAGTGATTTTAGGAGACTGGTCATCAGGTAGGACATAACGTTGTCTTATTGAGCAGGGGTTAGACTTCACAGAAGGTAAAAAAGCCATAAAGACAGAGGAAATGATTCCTCGTGTTGAGTCTCTGTTTCAAACAGCTTTGTAGAAAGGAAGCACCCTACGCACTGCAAGGTGGTCGCCTCTCAACTGAGGAAATCAGATTCGGTGGTTGCATTCAGTTGTACAGATGGCCAGAACCGCTGAGCATAAGAAGAATACAAACGAACCATTTAGAAATACAACGACGAGCGCTAATCGAAAACCTAACAATGGTAAGATATGCACTAAACATACGGCGCAAAAGAGATTTCAACAATGCAGAGGTTATGAAGTGGGTGATACTATTCAGGCCACAGAGACTGGTGGGAATCAAAAAGCATCCCAGAGTGAACAGAACACATGCGAGAAGCGGCTTCAGTCCAGCTGGGCCGATAGGTCATAAACAGTTAACACTGAACAGTCAACAACAACAACAACGCTTCGGATAAAAATGGATCCAAGTTCCCGTCTGTTTGTAGCACATCCAAAAGGCTAACAGCATTCACCAACGATATGCGTGAGGAATTATCACCTGAAGTACCCTGAACCAGAGGGGCACTACCCTAAACACAATCCAAATCATCGATCGTAAGACTTATTCAATCGCACTAATCAACGAGTACTTTCAACCGGCATTGAACAGTGACTTAGCATGTTGGTCGAAAGTGATATTGTTGATTGGTTCTCGTCCTACCTTAAACTCGTCCATGGTAAACCACTTGGCCTGACGAGGATTTTGTGTCAATAGTGGCACGTCGCTCAGAAATGAATCTGCTGACTGTTTACCATACCTTTCAGGGACAATTGGATTCTATTCTCACATGCATTCCAAACACTCCATTCGGAGCTACTGTCTTGTGCATGTTATTCCGGGTGGTGAGGGTGAGAATAATCGGATGTTTTGGAGTGGTCATACACTTTCTCATCTTTTGAAGGTTGTGTGTACTTTCGTAATGCACTACTTATAAGGTTGCTGGAAATTCTTCTTCAGTAACCTTATGAGTAGTGCGTTGCGAATATATATGTATCGCGATATCTCGAAGACCGTAGTAACTGAACTATGAGGCGGCCTGGTGCAGCACATTCACAAACGAGAGATTCATCTGGGCTCCAGGTGAGACTCTCGCAAGATCAAATTTGCAAATGAGTGTATTTGTTCCAGTGAAGAGTTTCACACTCGACCAGGGAATCATGAATCACAATCTTGGCGTTCCTTATATTACGAGGTGCACTCGACTGTTTTGTTCGAAACACGTTTAACTGAAAGTTCGTGGCTGTGGTGCGTAAGATTGACGGGTGTGTGGGAGTGTATAGCGGGCTCGTTAGACTTACTGAATAAATCCTGCTTGGCAAGGGTTGCTACTCCCTGGGCCCCTATCCCATTGTTTGATTGACGAGATGGAAAAGTTTCCAAAATGCTGCTATTCAAATATTGGACGATGCTGACCCCCCTCGTCAAGAATGTGCAGACGGACAAAGTTGCCTTCTTGAATTTCTTTACTTTTCCCTCTCCACAAGTACTCGCCCCTCGAGGAGAGCACCGGTGGTGCCTTACAGCGAAAAGGCAGCCGTCTGTAATTTACCGTTAATAGAATAGTAATCATTCTCATCAACAACATTTTCCCACATGTTAGTTTCTGACATCAGGAAGAACAAAACCTACACAAAACCAACCTGGATGATTTGACGACTGAGACTCCGTGGTTAGATTGTGTGAACCATTGAGATCAGCGAGTTTGGTAGCAGGAAACGGCATACTACTGGTTTCCAACTGGAAAACGAAAAGGAAAGTAATGTGCAACGATTGCTTAGGGCAAATATGAACAAATATATGGGTCCGGTGCAACGAGCTTTGGTTGAATAGTCAAGCTGCTTCGGTAAGAGGCATCCTATTACTCCCACAACCAGCATCACTCATTAGATAACACGGCCCATTATGAAAATATAATCTATACAAGGACGGAAAGAAGCATCATACGGAAACCAACGATCAGAGAATATAGTTGGAGTAGGTATTCGAAGAATAAGTGATGGGATTATGTACCGCAGGGGACCACACAGAGGTGCTCAATCGCACTATGCACAACAGTGTACACAAACCTGTCTACTTTATTTCGGGTATCGGTGTTGGGAGTAGCCGGTCTCTTGAATGCTGCGCGTGCATAACAGTCAGTATAAGGAGATACTCCAGCTATTTTGAGCCGCCCAGGTCGAAGACAACCTATAAAGATAGATATTCAACATCAAACTTAATGGTTTTAACCCGGGCATTGGCTGGCTGCCTCAAACAAACCAAAGTTTTTGGACGTGCACTGCTCTCATCAAGTCGGTATACGACCGGAGCAGAATATGCCCAAACCACCGAACTAAACGTTCCTGGTTAAAATTGACAAACCTACCGGGTTATTGTAAACCTATGGAACCCACCAAATGTATCTACCGCCATTAGGGATAGATCGTTCAGCTGTAAGACCCCCTCGGTGCCTGGCTGCCGTGTCGCTCGAAGGAAGCATGAGGGCTGAGTTACTGCCAGGTAGCCCAAGTCCAGACAGGAACAATCGAGATGCCGGGGTTGGATTTGAACCACAAAATCTCCAGCTTGGACTTTCAACGCCTTAACCACTAAGCCATCTGGACCACCCATTAGCATTGTAATACCACGGGTAAGAAAGCATCAGCAGAGATGCATGAAGATATGTGACGAACGAATCCAGACAAAGCTTGAGGTCCCCATCTCTCATCGCTCCTGTGATCCAATGAGTGTGCTGTTATCCCCTGTTATTACTAATATCATTATTTTTATTACTTGTTGTGTTAACGAACTAAATTTCCTATTGGGTGGTTAGAATAGCATCAGTGCCCAAGAAAGAGGCAACAAAGTTAAAGCAAGCCACTTGTACATCCCCTGTTCCGAATTCGTTTGAAGGAATGTTACGGTGACTAACTGAGGAATCGTCAATAGTTTTTATAACCCTTTCTCCAGACTTAATGCGTGATCTTATCAAATGATTCCGGTTCCCTTTCGAATCCAAACTGTACTTTAATGAAGTTCGTTATCTAGCATTTCATGCAGAGACTAAGAACTCCTCCCCTCAACCTTGTTCATAGATTTCTTATGGCTAGTATTCTGTCTCCATTGATTTATTGTTCACCCATTCTATTCCTTAAAACAGAATACAGCCTTATTGTCAAGTCCCTAAAACAACTCTCTAGGTGCAGCAAACAAGCACATTAATACTTTTTTCAACATATCCCAACGACCGCTTTCCGACGTTCATCGTCTTCGCAAGTCACACAATAAAGGCATTTTAGGAATTCATTCTGAGTAAGAAAACTATTAACTACCGAGAATTCCACTCATTGAGATGGCTCAGTGGTTAAAGTTCGAACTTACTGATCGGAATGTCCGTAGTTGGAACCGGATCTTTGCATTTGCACTTCTCCTGTCTAGCTAAGTTTGGGCAACCTGGCAGTAACTCGATTCTTCCTTCGGGAGGCATGGCAGCTAGGTGCCGAAAGATGCTACAGCTAAAACATTACTATATATATGTATATAATATCCATAGTGTGGTATTTTATATGCACATATGTATATATGTAAACACAGCAGCTTACACCCCTAATAATCATGAAAGGCTGAATTCTTGCGACAGTAGGGCACTAATGGGTGTGATCCGTTCACCATCATCGTGTCGAAATATATGCGACCAGAAGCGAACTGGCTTGAGAAATGAGGAGAACTAATTTGTTCATCACCAAAAGGAGAACCGATTCAGTCAGACGGTTTGGCAATCCTGAACTAAGTAGTTTTGTACCTGGGTGAAGCAGCAAACCTGGGAACTGAAGTTCACTCAGTTGAATTATTCGGTCGGTAGAAAAGCCGTCTCTTCAGTAAAAGGTCGTTCGCCAGCGAAATGACGTAACTACAGGTTACACGTCCCCCATAGGGACATGAACATATATCCGGTCGTTCACTCTGACAGGCTGCGTCAGTCAAGGGTTTCCTCGACTATCTCACACCAGATACCTTGTACCCCTCATTTATGTAACTTGAAACACAACACATGTCCGACGTATGCTTCGATCGATCGTTTCAACCCACGTTGATGTGTTTTTTATCGTACTACCCAAGCGCACTGTATTCTTCAAAGTAATCGGCCGATAATCGACCGATAAAATGCCATGAAAAACACAGCTACCTGTAATGTCAGGAGGGAGAACCATATTGCTGAAAAGAACGGATGGGGATTAAGGGTACTAGCTATATAACTTTCGTTGATAACGAGCCGATGACATTCTATGTACCGGTGAACGAATGCTCACAAAGGAAAACCTGGAAGCATAACATCTAGAAAATTCAACGCTCAAGACGATAGACGCCTGATTATGGCACTCACGCCCCATCGATTCAATTCAGTGGCGGAACTCAGCATGTATCGTTGCTCGGAGGATGAAGGAATGACGAATAGCGGAATGTTATCTGTCTTACCACAAGCGGATCACAAGCGGAAATGCCCAACTTTCTAACACGACCCGAAAAAGTATGACAATTAAGAAAAGTATGGTGATAAGTATGACATACTATGATGGTAGGTTAAAACTAGTAACCGAAGGATACGAATTCTGGCGTTTTATAGTCGCAAAAGTTTTCCCAGTGAAGCAATAAGTTGAAGTAACCGACCAGATGTATGTTCAGATCTTCGTTGAAAGGTGCACCTCATCGTCATATGCAACTTAATGATGGACATGCATTTTTAGCGACCGTCAATCTCCATACACATGTGCCAGCTAAACGCAGCGGGCATCCACAGAACGCCCGAGTACTCACGGATGTTACACGTGGAGACTAGAAAGACTCCTGAGCACATGAAACCGGAGTGTAAGCAAGTAGGACTGACAGATTAAGGAATTCCACCAGGCTCATCATCATCATCATCATCATTGCCAGCTTAAGAACCGCCGTACTCGTCGTACAGTGGCTGTAGCTGCTGCAGTTTCGTTCACCGATGATTTGGGGGTGGGTGGTAAGTAGCTGCGCCTTGCAGGCGCGAGCTGGTAAATTGGTGCATAAATCCAGCACTGTCAGTGGGCTGTCAAGTGGGAAAACCCAGAACTGAATAGATACCAATGTAAGCCGGAGGAAAATTTGTACGAACCAGGGTCTATGGAACATCGTGATTCCGAGGTATGTGAAAGTGAAGCACCTCCACCATGGTAGAGGATGGGGTGCGAATCCCAACAAAAAATCGGTTGCAAAGTTTTAGTGGTGACAAACTATTGGTTGTCACACCAATTCCACGCTAACGTAGAGTGCCTGTCAGTAGTAAACTGTACAAGTGAGTGACAAAGAGTTCTACAGCAAAAGCAGGCGCTGATAACTTGCTTGTGCTTCCATATGGATAATCAAACATGAGAAAAATTGACCTCTAGGAGTAGCCAGTAGCACACCCAGGAGAGCCATCCCCAAACGAATTACAATGGTGGCGTCAGAAGCAACAATCGTGTCAACATCACACTAAAACGAACTAGTTTTAGCTCAGAGAATAATCCGCCAAACATATACATGTTGAACTGTACAGTATTGTACAGTGGTCAAGAGGACTGAAATATATGTTAACGATGTTATCCCGAAAACTCAGCACTTAATTCCCAAGGTGGACATTAAAAATCATGCAGTATGCATTAAGGATTGGAAAAAGTTCACCTAGCTTGAACAGAGCGTCAGGCGAGTAGGAAATTTATGCTGGTGGAAGGACCGACTACCAAAAGCGTAAATTAGGAAGCGATCGGACGGCAGTTGTGAGGTGTAAAACGAATCTAAAACGAATTCTAAGCTGTATGAAGTCGACACCTGCAACTACCTATGGCTCGAGTACCTAGCAGAAGCGGAACAAGTAAGCACCAAAAAGATGTCAAAATTCGAAGGTTTAAAAATGAACACTGCTTCACACTTGGCAGAAGTCGGGTAGTAAGTCCCGTGGATCTTGGGTTCTCTATTGTTCCTGTGCAAATCAATGGGTGAACTGAATCAAACAGTGTCCCCGCAAGAAGAGCCCCCAAGTTCAGTTACGCCCAAAATGGCGTTATCTTGGGAGTCACATGTTATGAGCCATACGTTTGCCGCACTTCTAAAAGACTATATAGACATTAAAAGTAGTCTGGAGTCATTTCACTGAGTACACACTGGATAAACCCATTATGGATGAGGAACAAAAAATAACCCGGGATTTCTAGCATCATTCGTTTGGATAAGTATACTAGAGGACACTACTGGTAAAGTTGCTGAAATAACAAATCAATGGAAAATGAATCGCGCTTTTCAGCGTACATAACTAACTGACACATCGTGATATCTGTGAACAAGTGTTTTTTTGTCCTTTCCTTTTCCGGAGTTATCTAGCTCCTGCTCATTTTACACGAAAATCGCCACTGGTTAAATTATACTTCGAGATCAAATAAAACCACTCTACACAACAACGCTCACATTCTCTGGGAGACAACTGACAAACGAATCATTAGGAAGGATTTAGTGTCACGTGTTCTGTCTGACAAAACTCGCACTTTTCGAGGCAACCCAAAACAATGTGAATTGAGACGGTCGACGGAACCAAAATGCACGCCTCACTCGGCTCGGTTCACGTTGTTACCAAATACCATGTGCCTAAAATATAGTGGTCCACTAAAAATTCACTATTAAACACTTTCAAGCATTTAGAGGCACTATTTTTCATCGGCACACTTCCTGGGATAGAAGAGTGATGCTTACTCGGAGGTTGTACTTGAAGGCCTCCACATAAGCGGGAGAACAACAAGTGTTGCTCAATTTCTTCCCAACTCAACAGTCAGCAATAATTCTGCTAACGGTATTGCGTATGCACATAAAATGGTTTTCAAGTTGAATGAACAGGCCACATCTCTCCTGTAAGGCGACTTGTCTGTCCTGATTCAAATAAATTTGAGATCCAGTCGTTTCACAATTTTCTTGAAGGCCCATTCCAGAGGCAGTGATAGATTTTCCCAAGCCCAGAACATAACTCTCTGGAACTTAAGCACTAAACTGATCAGTACCACGATAGTGAAAGAGAGCAATATAGTGATCAAATATAACAACTATGGCCGTCGGCCCCGGTAGAACAAAACCAAAAAGTCGATCTAGGGCGCATGCTGTTCAGCTATGAACTGCAAGTCATGATGTGTTATCAGCTGCCGTGCCCATCAAATGTAAAGTAACAGTAGTGTGTACTAACACGTGATACCGAATCAAGAATGTTACAATCTCTCTCTGTCTGTGTATATCTTTGTATGTTCACCAAACATGCTGTCATCATATTTGTCGTCAATAGTATGTGAGCCGGAAGATGTGTGAATAGCAGCTGCCACTGAACAATTGTGTAAATCCTATTCAACCACTGATAGAAGTGGAAACTGAAATGACATTGACAACAGAGCTTGATAACAATAAATTAGTGAAAGATGTATGAACTGGACGGATAATGCCGCGCAACTTGTCGTCGCAAGCTCGGCTTGGATCAAATCCGAACCTCAGGTCAACAAAAACCAATTGGTGCGACTGGCAAGTCCATCCATACGGATAGCTGAGATTGGCTCCTGGCCTCAGATATCCTGAAGTAGTAGGATTAGTTGATCGAGAAGAATGGTTCTTCCGTGGGTTGTCAAAGTTGTCAGTGCTAGTGCTCCATCATGAAAACGTACGGCGATATGTCGAATATCGTACCAACTGAAACATGAGGCGGACTTTGTGCACCACATTCAATCGAAAAACCGCACAGAGACGAGAGATTCAGCCCAGGTTCAGTTTATTCTCCCGTTAACAACAAGTTCATTTGCAAATGAGTGTATTTCTTCAATGGTTCTTCCTTTTTGAACAAGGCTAAACGCAGATTGTTAGTTCTCATGATATTGTGACAATACTCCAGTAAACTAAACATGAAGGCTCAAATTCATAAGCCTCGGAAAACGAAATGTGAATCGATTAGGAAACTTGGAGGGACAGACAAATTAAACAGCTGATCCATATGCTACAAGTAAGAGACTGTTCATGTGTCTAGGTTTGTTGTAGGTCGCCTATTTTGTTCAATGAGAAGCTGACTACTAGGTTTCTTTGTACCGGATTCCCAAATAGGCTAGAATCGCTTTCAGTAGATTCACAACGAAGCCATCAGTTCCGTTTTGTAGCCGCTGGGTTCAGGACGTCTATGCATTTCGAAGTTTCTTTTTAATTTTTTCCCCTGAGTACTCGACAAGCGTGATAGAAACCGTTGCTAGCCAGAGGGCGCTGACAATCTTCGACACTCTCCAGGGATTGGGAAGTGAACTGGATTTGTTTTTCAGCTGCACTGAACGGTGCGATAACAGAGGAGTAGAACAAGCTGAAAACCTGAGATCAGTGGTCCGGCATCGCTTCGGTTGGGAGGTTCGATGACGAGAGATTGGCTTGGATACATGCATTTTTTGCGTTCAGCGTTCTGCAATTGGGTAACGTCACTTTGGCTAATGCGCAAATTTTCATGGCCTAACTAGACACACTGTCAACTTTACACATAAAAGGCTTGGTCGGAATCGACGTATGTGCTCTAGTAAGACCAGGAACCATGCAAACATCGATAATTAATTGCACATCTATATAATAATCTATCCCTTCCTGGAACCGTTGAATTTGCCTGCAATATTGTCACCAACTTAACTTACTCATTCTATCAACGTACAACTTTTATTCAATGGCAAAGTGATAGAGTAGCAATGGGCTCCCGCTTCGGTCCCATATACACTGATATTTTTAGGGGCAGTTTCCCATACAGTTGTGGAACCAACTATGGAACACTTACCACTTTATAAACAATATCTTGGTGATAATTCCATTATTCCTGAATTCCACATTATATCCCTAGAACACTTTCTAAAACTGCCCATATTGCGATGCGCTTTACCAGAGAAATGGAGTTTCTTGATATCGCACTAACTAGAAGAGTGGTATACGGAAAACCTATATAATCTTGCCAGTACATCAATTTCCACCGCATCCCGGACATGAAGTACACAGTCGGTAACATCTTGACAAATGACAAACTGAATGCTGAACTAAAGGTTATCCGGGGGAAATTTGATGGAGGTTGGTTACGTGGAGTGAATGTTGGCGTCACATGTGCTTCGTCGCCTTGTGGTGGCTCGTGAAAGACTGACCCGACAGCAGCAAACAGGATTCCGGACTGGTAGGGGTTGCTTGGACTAAATTTTCACAGCCCGTAAGATACTAGAACAACGCCATAAGTACAAACGACCCATAATTCTAGTAGTTCCGGGTTTTCAAGCCGCATTCGATTCAGTTGACCGGTCTGCTCTCCTTAGCATGCATGTCCGTCAAGGAATGCCCCGCAAAATTTCGAACATATCGTAGCAACTGAAACATGAGGCGGCCTGGTACAGCACATTCAGTAGCCTGGAAACGTCACAAACGAGGGATTCAGCTGGGTTCCAGGTGAGTCTCTGACGAAACTGAATTTCTTCGCAAATGAGTGTATTTCGATAATATGTTCTTTGTATTCTCATACTTTGGGCTTTTGAGTGAATGCGGAGAGCTCTCCAAAAGCTTGTGTACACAAAGCGTTGACCGCAAGGGGTGCCCACTCTCTGCATTCTCACTCAATTTCTTGATAGACGACATAATGATATGAAAGCTGAAAGCCCCTTTAAAAGTCTGGTGTTCAAATAGCTATTGACGAAAGTCATCCCGTTTTTTGGCATGTGTTTACACCCACAAAGTGCAAGGCCATGCAAACGGAAATGTAGATTGAACATGCCACTTACAATTCAAGGAGACACATGCGGTTGTGGAGCATTTTACGTATCCTGAAAGTTGTATTAGCTTATTGTAGTGTGACGGAGGATGTCAATGTACTAATCTCCAAGGCTTAGGTCGCGTTTGCTAATTTAAGAAACTTGCGGAATCAAAGCGTGTATCTCTGAGTTTCAAGGGGCGAGTGTATCAGGTTACAGTACGGGCTGTTTTGTTGTGCGGCTGTAAGACTTGGCCTGTTTAAGTAGCGGAACTGAGACGTCTTGAGGTCTTCGATAATCGTTGTTTCATAGATCGCGTGGGTTGGTGCCAACAAATCCGTAACGAGGCAGCCCGGGAGCTTCCATTGAAGAATGTGTCCAGCACCAGAAGCTGCGTTGCTTAAGCCATGAGCATGTCGAACCATCATTTGCCGAAGAGGATGTTGTTTTCCGTGGCCTATTCGGAGTGGCGGAAGCAGGGAGGTGGCCACTCTTTGACCTGGCGAAGTGGAATGAAAGGGATTACGAAACATTTAGGTGCCGTCGGTGCTATTCGCCTTCCAGGATGGGAGCCTCGTGATACCCGATGTGCACGGTTGGAGACGCTGCAAGATATGACTACCAATCGATGTCATTGGTGTTTTGTTACCAGCTTTATCCAGCTTGCCTGAATGTGTCCTTTTTTTCTTTTCTTCACAATGAGACTTTCAAATATATCATGGTTGCACGGCAACGAAGCATCAGTGATAAACACTGATATCATGCAGTCGATGATGATGATGTGGTGAGCTACGTGGAGCAATCCGTACGGAGGAATTTGAGCCAACATATAGTGGTGAAAGAAGCTCGACAGTCGCAAAAAAGTCCGTATACATTCAGCTGCCACTTAAAAGCAACAATGCTTCAGAAAACCTGATAAGCTGTCTAACTGCCTGCTTAAGACGAAAACCCAACGCAAGAAGGATAAGGACACACTTCGGTTCACTGCCAACCTAAAGGACAATGTATCAGTTCATGATTTCCTTGTGGTTAAATATTCATTTGTTGGTAAATGTTCCGCAGACTAAGTTGTTCAGACGACACGCCGCCTACCTTAGAGAATCAGTAACACGTAGTGATTCGCCGAAAAGAAGCAGCTACACACGTGGCTATCGCTATCACCAGTAGTCTGTTCTATACGGACCACCGAACTCCAGTACTTCTTCCATTTTACCGGTCGCTTCTTCGGGATATTGGTAATCATCATATCTACTCCACTGGGCACAGTAAATAGCAATGTGATGTTCCTTTCGGGAATTTCAGAATGACAACAATAGAAGTTGGCGGACGATGGAAGGAAGCGAATCCTACAAAGGTCGCATGCTGAATTTGTCTGCTGCAGCGAACGGTTGCCGGTTGAATATGCTCAAGTTGATAAATTGTAACGTCAAAACTACGAAAGATTGGATTGCCAGGGACCACAGAATGCGGTGAACGCCACGAAGAAATGCAACAACCGGTTTGGGGAACAAAATGGCTCGTCTGACAGATAAATTTTTAAGGACTGTTTCTAAGCGTCTCATCCCAGATTCAATGCTATCGGATGTTCCCCAAAGAACCATGGTTTTGATTTTTTTTTGTCACATCTAGTCCCCACCTCAAATGCGCTCATCCATTTTTCTGGTTTCTTGCCTAATTTTAGGACTCTAAGATCAATAGATTACCAAGGCACCTTAGAAATCCATTAAACTCCCAGACTGGACTACTGATGGTCTAAAAGTATTATTTGATTAACGTTAATTATGATACCGATCACAGATGCGTCTAGGGCGCTAACCAGTTCAGTCATTTTAGCCCCCCCCCCTCCTGTGGTGCACTGCACAGGATAGATACAGAGACCAACGACAGGGGCTAAAAGATAGAAATAACACGATACATAGAAAGAGTTGTGGGATTGAATGGGTGATACGTCCGGTCCATTCAGTCGGAGTAAAAATAGATGTACTTTGCACGGGGCAACATGACCTCCCCTCAGGAATATTACTTGCTATCGACTAACACTAACACACGGATCAGAAACCTAACATACCGCATCCGGTCAGTTACCGAGGTTGTTCAAACAGGAAGTCGATTTAATCTACGATCCTCGAACCATAAATTCACTTGCAGACTAGGACAAAGTGAGGACCTCACTGCTGCAAGTCTTCTAATTTTCCGTGTTCTCTGTTCACAAGATTGGAACTAGGAAACCGTTATGGAAGTTACTAAAATTACTGCATAACTACTAAAAGTCACCAGCGATGCGTGATACTGGACTGAACCGGATGAGTTTTCAAAACGGAGGAACTTGTGCGGTTTGTGAATACAGTCCTATCACCGTCACACGATATATAAGTCACGAGACACCGATTCGGCCCTTCGAGTAAATCTTAACTTGTTTATTGATGTTTTCATCCAAAACACCTCAGTATGTGTTGCGCATACGAACTGGAATTACGAACCCCGATAGGATTTAATCAGAGTTTCATGCAGCTCCTGACAACTAGATACTGGAAGTTAGAACACCAGTTCGAATTCCTGCAGATAAACAAGCAGAGCGTGACAGTTATGGCCTAAAGTGGCGAAACCGAAGGAAATATTTCAATAAAATGCTATGAGGCCCGGGAGGCACACATAGCGTTGAAACACCAACGAAGTCCCGAAACCAACAAACTAAATCTATGAGTGATGTTGAAAACAGTACAGGGTTACCTTTAGAGCTTCACGAAGGTGTTGCGAGAGAAAGACAGAACACACAGTTCAGCCGTCAGCTAAGTGCGTTTCTGTTATGATTCTGACTGCCCTGATAGTGTGAATGGAGACGGTACTTCTGGGTTGATCAGTGGAATAACGAGACTTGACTGGGGTTCACCACCGAGTTACTAACGGCAGACCAGCCATAGACTCAGTTGGACCATTCTCCAGTCAAGGGCGAGATGGCTCAATGGTCAGAGTGCGAATTTACTGACCGGAAGATCCATGGTCCCCCGCCTGACCACGGAATCTCGGATGTTCCTATCTGGCCTTGAGCAACCGGCAGCATCCCAGTCCTCGTGCCTCCTTCTGATGGCATGGCAGCTAGGCACCGAAAGGGTGGTACAGCTGGTCGGTTGGATTAGATTATTATGTAGAAGTGCTGGGCAAAATGACGCATTATGCACTCAACTCATCAACAAGAGACTGATATCGCACCGATGCCAAAGGTATTGGATATTTTCAAAGACTATCCCAACCGTGGTGACTCTGGATGTGATATCAACAGTGCGATCACCACCTGTAGATACGTGACTTAATTTGAAATGGACAGTGCTATTACGAGTCCAGACCAGTATTAAGCAAGGATATTCCAAGTCGTCAGTGAGAAAACCACGCTATAACGGTGTAAAGCATTCAAGAGTACTCTATAGGGAGTGAATGTCACCTCATGTCAGAGAAAATCATCAATCTAATCTAGTTCCCGATTCGTGTTATTCCGGAGACGTTTCACACCACTACCCGTATTACTGGACATTGCACTAGCAAGATTTTCATGAGTGATGAAGTAAAAGAGAAACCGTAAGACTGGGTATCCTTGACTAACCCGGTCAGCAATGGGGAACGGATGGGAACAAGATTAATCCTTTTACGGCAAACTGCTCACATAGTGTTTTTGAGCATCTTCGGTATAATGCTCCGGGCCAGACAAAAACACAGCATCGTCCCGTTTAAGGAGTCTACGGCAGCTCAAATGTCGGAAAACTCCATCATGGTGATACGCTGTTTCACCAGTTGCAGCAGCATGAAGATTTGGTTAACGCAACTTATCATACAATCGAAACTGGCATGCAACCCGTGGCTCCAGAGCTCACCTGTTATTAAAAAGAATGATCGTCGCCAAAATTACGGATGTAACTGAAATAAGACTGATTCTCTGATGCATTGAGCAGTCTATCCTCAGTCCCCTTGTGAAGATCCCAGAAGCGATAGTTCTCGGTCGGGAAATCAGAAAGAATCCGATTCCCATATCTGGGCGAAGAGCCCAGTGGGTTGTTGAAACTTGAATTTTTCAAAGGCGGTGAAATTAAAACTTCTGTGCCTGCCTCTAAAACCTCGGGGGTCCACGTGCTCCCGGGACTTCCCCTCACAGAAATCAAGTGTGCGGACGATATCTCTTTCTTTGGTGCAGATCCTCCAAAAATGAAAAACCATTTTAAATAACCTTAATGATTATGCCACAGGGTTTGGCATGCGCTTCACACCTGTAAAGCACTGTTACAAGACTGAGTGTGACCAAACCCAAATCTCATGCCTATAGACGGGACAATCGACTCGGTAGATCAATTTGTATACTAATACTACTATCATTTATTTTGAAGAGCATGGTCACAAACATAAAAAGTGAATGCAAGCGACGAATGCGAAGGGGTAACAGGAAAATATGAGAGAAAAGAGAGAAACGTTTCATTCGAAGTCACGCCACCAACAGTTCCAGTCAGATGAGAAGAATCCCGAAGTATGTAAATATTTTGATATGGAAACGGGAATGATTTTACACAATTACAATGCCTGGTTATATAGCCATCGTTTAGCAGTTTCCCAGTGACGGAGACTGCAGCACTGAGACCAACGTAGTCTTATTGCACGATAAATAGCTGAGAAACTATACTAAACTGTGCGTGCGGATTGATGATCTCTGGTATTGTGGATGGTGAGAAACAGAACTTTAACATCCACTTGCCGTCTTATTTAATTGCCAGGAAATCGTCACCTGCTGAACAGAGTGCTCTCAAAGCGCTCATTAAGGGAGCACAGCACTGTAACTTACGCTCCGCTAGCACTGTTATCCCCACATGACAAATCACTGCTTGATTCACTCTTTAAATTGGTCGGGAAGCCCAATATCTGCGCATCTGGCCTCTCAACTATCCTTTTAGATTAAATCATGGGTCCCGTGAACAGCATTATCCGTTTGGTAAGGGTCTGCGAGAGGATTGGGATGTTGCGAAAACAACCGGTCTTCTGTTTTATGTAATACTAATTGTAAAGTTGATGAAAACTACTGATCAACCTTGTAAGCAGTGTCATATCAGCACAAGCACTTCGATATCTTGAGTGTCATTCGACCTGAAACATGGGCTGACGTTCGTGCAACATATTCGAAGAATATAAAAAGGAAGTTACTTCTCACGTTAAGGCCATTTTGGTCCACAAAGGAGTGTATAATCAGCATTCTGGTTGATTTTCTGACTATTTGTGACAAAACTAAGGAAGTTTAAAGCGCCTACCATTGCAACTCCCAAAGTTTTCGAACACATCCAGTCTAAATATTACTCAGGTATGACACCCCTAATGATTGATTTCGGCAAGAACGGAACTATGAACATCATAATTGCCGTTTTGTTGAAGACAACATCATAAGCAGTTGGCACATCTAGGAATAAAACTTTCTTCAACAGTGTACAAAGCCTATTCAGCTGGGATAAAAACTGGTAAATAGTAGAGGTTTTAGAAGACTCTCCCCAAGATCGTAAGGAACTTATGTATCAAGCCAAAAACTGCATCGTTCTGGAGCTAAACCAATCAGAGCACAAACGAAAAAAATTACCTGAACATTACGAGCCGTTCCAGTCTCAGCCACAACGAGAAACCATGATGAAAGGTACGAGTGTATTAAGAATGAGGTCCATATAATTGGGCATAGCAACGTCCGCAGATTGGGCATGGGTGAAAAGGGAATGGTACGAGCAGAGGCTGGAAAGAATGTAGCAAGGATCATTAACAAACTGGACAATGGAAACCTACTGTTTGGTACAAGAAAAATAATGGCCCTAGTACAACGCATCCGAAGTCAACAGAAAAGAAAGTCTTACAATATGGCTAAAAGGATTAGATACTCATAAGCTGTCAATCGGTCAATTTACCACCTATAAACCGAGTACCAAACGCATGTTGGTTCCAGCTGGTGAAGTTTCGATCGCCGGAAAGTGAGAATGTGTGGGGCAAACAGCCAAGCCTTGGAGGCGATGACATATTCAGTTCGTTCGGAAATCGGGTAGCTACACATTGAAGACGATAGCTTTGATGCATGAACGCTACCGACTGCGCGATTGGCCCAGTTCTGCCAGTGTCAATCACCATTGGTGAGTTGAGTCCCGGAGTACCCATCCGGGGAGGCGACAGTTGACGACCCGATTAAGTGTAACACCTAGTGTCTTCATACTTCGTTGCCAGGCCATACATTGTGCACTCTTCTGTCGCTTCCAATCAGCAGAGGAGTGACCGAAAAGAGCTCAGCGAGGCAGGCAGTCTGCTGGCATGCGGAGTACATGTCCCAACCAGCGCAACCTACAGAGCGTGAGAAATTCACCTTTCGCGGGAGAATTCCTTTTTCTTAGGACCACCTGGCGTACTTCAACATAACTAATCCGATGTCTCCACCAGACCTAACCGATGCTTCGGAAACACCTTTGGTCAAACATTGGCATCTTTTGTATGTTCTCTGCGCGTAAACTCTGGCCTTGACAGACAAACTGACGTCATGTGGGCGTCATAGATGTCGCCCTGGCCTTCCGATTCAAGAAGTAACCTCATCTCTGGCCGATCCGCCGGGGCTTACACAACTGCTCAGGCGAACAAATTTATCTACCACATTAACTGGCGATAACGTCCGCATATTCAGTGTTATGAGCGAATGTTCTGGGAGCATTTCCAGTCCCAAGGTGCAGAATATCTGAGCCAGGTGACTTAGTGCGCTTCAGGATTGAAATCTCACGCCGGATTTCGGTTGCTGATGGCGCAGTCATGACAGACCTTGATAAAACTCGTCCTCTTCAGTCCCTATTTGTTGGGGCATATGTTGATACGACATACAAACACCGTTTACCGCATCGACCTGCGTTAATCTTAGTTGAGCCAGGAAGCCGCACAGAGCACAGGCGACTGTTTTCTGGGATCCAGTCAAGTAAGCTGCTTTCAGACTTGGGGCTCAGTAGATACCACGAGCCATTGCGTCAGAATCACTGAATGCCCGAAGAGCAAAATGTGGAACATCTGGACTCGTCCTAAGCGGTTTGAGGAGCACCAACGATGTGGGTCTTGTATGCGTGTTTTGGAGACACAACATACATCGATAGAGAGGGAAACTAAGGTATCAGCAAGGTATGTTTGTTACCCAATCTGATAGAGTACGGGCTTTAAGGGCTGCAACGTGGATCAAATCTTTTGAGGTTAGTAGGTGATTATTGTGGCTTATTTATATGGGCGATGGTTGAGACACGGAACAGTGGCTAGGGGACTGGCAGATGGGCTGATTGCACTGCATTATACGATGAGTTGCGAGGGAATGAGGCGGAAGGCCGGTGAGCGAAGAGCTGCAAGGTCAAATTATACTTCCTAGTTGCCAAAGCCGAAAGGGGGTTGATTGTGGTACCCCACCTTGAGCCTTTGACTCAAAAGTTTGACCCACAAGGCAGTGAGAGGATGTAGGGTTTCGTTCCGGGGGCCCTGCCCCTAGCCTGGACCGCGAGACAGCGGTTGTTAGGGCTTTTTGAGGGAACCCTTGTAATGACTACATAAACCATATCTTTGCATAGACTATTGACTCGTAAGTCTCACTCTGACCAGGTTAACAAGCATCGCTGTTCGGTAATGCGACCAGCTATTTAGTAACTTCTTACTTTGCACACATTTTTCTTAACCATCTCGAATACGGCTCCAGTGAGAGCAAACGGGCACGTTGTGTGGCCGGTCTGCTAACATCGCTTTTCATTTTGGTTAAAAATCCTATGCCAAACGAGGGATGTAAATGAGAATGGAACGACCATCTTGAATAAAGAAGAACGCCTCGACCGTTGGGCTGAATATTTCGAACAACAACTGTCGTGGCCACCAGCCGGCACTTATCTAGAGCCCACAGGTGAAGTAGAACTCTGGACGGTGAACGTGGAACCACCTACGGCCTCGGAGGTTTACGACTGCATATGTTCTCTCAAGCGCCACCGAGCTCCCGGTCCGGATGACCTTCCAC